GGGGACACTGGGGGCACTGCTTTGTGTGGGGAGGTACTGGGGACACCAGCGTGCGTGTGTGGGGAGGGGGAACTGGAGGCACTGGCGAAGAGGGGAGCAGAGGGAGGGCTGGAGTGCTGGGGAAGCTGGGGTGCGGCAGGGGGGGGCGCCGGGGCGGGCCGGCCGAACTGGGGACACTGGCACAGACGGGGTGGGAGCTGGGAGGAACGTGCGTTTTGGGGGAGTTCCTGGGGCAAAGAGAGGTTTGGGGCATGCCGGAGGGCGCTGGAGAGAGCAATGGGAGGCGGGGAGCACTGGGGCGACTGGGGGCGGCGGGTGTCAAAATGCCGTGGGGATATTTTCCCTGGTGGCAGAGCCCACCCAGGGCTGAGCAAGGTGCTCCTAGAGTCAGCAGGACCGGAGCACGTTCCTTGGGAATTATGTCATCACTTGATTCCCCAGCGCGCTGCTCGCGCAGAGGAGGAGTTGAGGCAAGACGCGTTAAATCTGTTAAATCTTAAAATCGGTTTTCTAAAGCTACCGAAACACCCTGTCCCCACGGAGGCAGCAGCGGAGCCTGCACAGAACAGCCCCGTCCCAGGCGCGATTGCGCGGATGAAACCACCCACCCTCCTAGCCGGTGTTCGTCGCTGGATTTTCCTCCCTTGTAAGCAAGGTCCGCCTTCTGGCCCTGCGCTTCTGTAGTCACGTCCAGAAATACAAAGCATTTGCTGTCCTAAGTCCTGCTGGATTATTTAGACAGCCGAGTAACTTTACGTTAGAAAAGAAGCCTTAGTGCCTGCATAGTTATTACACCCTGGCAAAGCGATTACCCAAAGAGAAACTAGACCTGTGGGTTGGCGTCTGTGTCAGCCAGGAGTTAAATTTGGGTGCCGGTTTGAGAAATGCAACTTGACTCTGCACTTCCTGTATTCTCAAAAGGTAATGCGCATCCTTAATAGGCCACTTACCAAAGCTTGGCTCTACCAGCTGCTAGCAGCTCAGGGTCGGGACAACTCCTGCCTTGCAACAGTAGTATGAACCTTTTTGCTTTTACATCCAGGTCTTGAAAGAGGCGGCGTAGGTCAGCTTTCTTTCATGTCCTCGCGCTCCCACCCTTGCAGTCTTCTCCTGACTTCCTTCCCAAATTTGCAGGATGGAAATAAGCAAGGTGGGAACAGCAAATGGATGAAAAGCGAAGCCAAAAAAAATCCCCCTCACCCCAAACGACGTCTCCAGCAGTGGAAGATCTCCAAGGAGAGCTGCTGCCTCAGAGGACGGGTTCTGCAGGATTCCTTCACTTCACTGCCCGGCCATATATCTGCAATTGCTTTTTGTGTTTTTCCTCTGCCCGCTCCCTTTGCATTTGCATTTGCATTACTGCGGTGCTCGTGAGCTAAGCTCTAGGGTACACTGAGAGTTGAGGAAACACCCGTTTCCCCCTTCCAGCCGCGGCAGGATGAAGGATGAAATCACGCTACCCCCAAAAAATCAAAAATAACATTTTTAGAAAAAGCAAAAATCTATTGTTTCCTATTATTTTGCAGTGAGTAAACGTGTAAAATGGCCGTCTGTCCTGCGCTTGTTCCACGCTTTGACGGGAAAACAATTAGCTGAGAGGGCTGCGCCATAGCTCCAGCTCCGTGTCGGATGGCCAGCTAGGGTCCCAAGGACGCGGGAGGCTGGAACCACAGGCTGTTCAAGACCTAACCTGCAAACCTGGCAAGGAACGAGGATGCTATTGCCCTGAGAACAAACTCCACGTGAAAAATCAATGTTTTCCACCAATGGACGTTTTTTCTCCTGAAAACGTTGATTGTGCAGAGAACAGATTTTCCTTACATGGCCTCCAGCAAAGCACTCTCTGCCTCAGTCGCCTCTGTAAAACACAGATGTTACTGATGTATAGCACCTGCCTGATGGAGGAGCTTGAGCATCACTGGATGGGCTGATGTGGCTCATGACAGGAGAAATGTAATCCTCATAGACCCGCCAGCACCTCCTGAGTCTCACATGGTTTTTCTGTGGGGAGGATGCAAGATTCTGGGGAAGAGATTAAGGGGTTGGAAACAGTGCACTCAAAGAGTGGGAAAGAAACAGTTGTGGAGGAGGATCACGGACACAATCAAAGCTGCCATCTAAGAAAAAATAATCCAGTGCAAATATCACTTTCCTCAACAGGACCGCATGCCTGCATCTGCAGAAGATCTGGACTAACAGAGTGGTACAACCTCTCCCAACCTCACGCAAGTTGACATCAGCTCTGAAGCATATTAACAATTCCGAAGATAGTAAAACGATTGCGAATGCTCCTTTTGTTTAACTAATAGATGGCCGTTTACCCTAAAAGAGAAAAAGATACTCAGTTTACATGATCTGGACAGTCTCATGCATGCAGTCGCACGTTCTGCCACGAACAATGACATTCTGGTTGCAGAAAGAGCTTGTGTCTCTTCATTCCAGTGTCATGCCTGGTAAGCAGTAATAAGTAATGTTTAGAAAGTACTACCTAAAACACTGTCTGCTGAATATCTCTGAGTATTTTCAGAGATATTCAGGTTTCAATTGAAAATCATGGTGAGAATCTATTTCAATAATAGTTGAAAAAATTGGGGGGGAAAAAAAGATAAAGGGACTTGAAAAAAAATCACTTGCTCACCACTGAAAATGGCAATCTGCCCTTTGTCACATTTTTGATTTTTGACTCATTTCCTGACTAGATGTGGTAGTTACTTATGCAGTGTGTGGTTTTCACACAGTCATGAAGACACCAAGAAACAAGTTGGGTTTTGTCAGCGGGTTTTACAGAGGGTTGTTTGGTTGTTTGAACAACTTTGGTTCTGTTTCCCTGGTGCTGCTACAACTATTGAAATATTTCCATCACAAATCAAAACAAAAAGCTGGCTTCCTAGGAAACTGCAAGATGTCAAAACAGCCAGAAAACAAACATAAGAACAAATCAAATCAGAAACTGAAAATCTTAAATGTGCTTTAGCGTCAGAGATGCATACTGCACAAGTACGCAATGAGCAAATACCGGAGTTCGATGGTAATGAAAGTACAACGCAACTTCCAACAAAGACAAAACCATGTCACTAATGGGCACGTCATGGAGCAGCGAGTTACTTGGGACTTCCTCAAAGAGAGGAAAGACTGTTCACAGCTCGGTAGGCTTGGAAAACGTGCTGATCTATCTAGATATCTTACACTGGGAACCTAAGAAGGAGGATTTTGAGGGAGAAGAATCAATCAGCTCTTCCTCAAGGAGGAATAATCCTCTGCATATACTCTCAATCAGTCTGTCACTCGCAGACCTGGAAAGCCATGTGATAAACTTTACACTCATTCTCAGAGAAACCACACACACGTATACCTTAGTGCTGGAGGATTCTTGCGTATGTAAAGAGCTGAAGGTGGTATTTTTGAAGATCTTTCCTTTGTCTTGGACAAAATTTGGTTCTCATGCTGCAAGACACCAAAGTGATTGTAGGAGTTTTGCCTTAGTTGAGTGCTGGATGAGGCAAAAGAGCTTTATGGATGACACGGACCTGATAGCATTTTAGCATAAAGTAGACCATTGGGACAAGGAAGTTCTTGAGTGTGCATGTCACACTCTTCCTTGCTGTTTGGTTTGACAGTCCTTTACAGAAAATAGAGTAGAGCAGAAATGAGTGGGAACAAACCTCTTTCTGTCCAGCTGGATTAAACCAGATGGGCTCAACCTTTGCGTTGCCGTGCAGCAGCCATTTCAGAGTTATCTACCTGCTCCTCTCCCCTTTCAGGTGCCCAGAAGTTTTCGCACAGACTTTTCAGCTGCTCTGAACATGACACCTTGAAAAAGAGATCTGCGGTTTTTCTGGGCATACTGGAAAGGCCAGTGGAAGTGACCAAACGTAGTGGGCTGCCCGAGAGGTCCAACAAGCCCACAAGTTCTCTTTGCTTTACCACAACAGCTAAGGTCCTGAAACAACACTCCCCAAACCCAAGGGCTCTGAACTTGATGTTTAACAACCGCACATGGGAAGTTCCCCAAACAACAGACCCTCTGGCCTCTCTGACCCTCCAGAGTGGCCTGGTAATACCGCATCTAGGGAGGTTGCTAGTTCAGGCTGATCTGTGTTCAGCACCAGGCAACTTCTCGGCTCAGATTTGTACCAAAAGATCAGGCAGGAAGAATCCTGCTCTGTTTCCTTCCCTAGGAGGGGAAACTTCAGTGATACATACTGAAGACTGGCCCTCAGATTAGCAAAGCCATTTTGAAATAACATTATGTGAGGATCCTACTGTGACAGGAGCCCATCTCACCTCCTCTCCTTGCTTTAGCCATTTGCTTGCAGTTCCTCTCAGTTTCCGCAGTCACTCCTCTCCCCTCTGGGCACATCTGTCTTTAAGTCTTCACAGCAGAGGAACACTGGAGTTTTCAGCTCCTTCTCAAAAGGTATCCATGATATTTCCATGTATTTGCGTTTTACCCATGAGACTGGCCTTAATCTGTCCCGACAGCCATGCCAATGAAAAAAAAACAGTCACACTAGGCAGCAGCAGAATCAGCCAGCCGTGGGGATCAGTATCTCCAACTGATTTGAGTTTGAGGTCCAAGCAAATACAAACATTGACTCAGAATTAACCTGAGCCATTAGTGACCTCCCCCCATGCAGATTCCCTCGGGAGCAACTAAGTTAATGGAAGAGACAGACAGGCAGAAATAGTATGATTGCAAGCCAAATTTTCGTAGGAAGCCAAGCAAAAGCCAAGCCAATCCATCATGCCACATATTATAAAGAAATAGGAGAAAAACAGAGGAAAAAAATCAGTGTTTCCACATCTTCCTGTCTCATCTGCTGTCCCATGATTCATACATGACCGGAAAAGGGGAGGCAGCCCACAGGTCTTGGGCCAGTCCATGTTTGCAGGTTGTGTTTGTGCACCTCACATAGCTGCTGGGGATCCTAATACTCCCCCACACAAAGTCAGTAATGGTCTCAAACTTAATTATTTGCTTTATCTTCCCTGTTTTTAAGCCTGATGACTGTAGCTTTCAAGAACTATTGTGTCCACCTCCTTATTTACTCATTTCATTGCAACTGTTTTCTTAGAATGACTGACAGCAAAATATATATATATACTGACAGCAATATATATATAAAAATATATATATACTGACTGCATATATCATTCATTTTTTTCCAAATAAAAGATAATAAAAGGAAATAGATCTTCAAATGACTGCTTCTTTATTTTAGACTTGTAGGTATGCCAGAAGTTCATCAGTCACTCTTTCAAAGAAGCCAAAATAGAGAACTGCCAGGAACTAGGCCCACACCAAAGTCAGGTCATAGGCTCTCCTCTTATGCAGACTGCACATGTCTACCTGCCCAAAAAGGCATGAAAAACCAAACAGCAATATAGAAACTCCAGTCAGAATGGGTGTCTGACCCCCAGAAACTCCAGTCGTTACTCTCTTCCTCTCCTCCCTACCCCCCAAAAATAGACAACAAAATTCCCTTAAATCCCTTATGCTTTTGTAATAGTTGAAAATGGAAACAAATCACTGAGAAAGAATCTGTCACGAGAAATCCAAATTTTCCTTATCAGAAGTAATTCTTTATGCTAAGATAACTCGTGTTTCATTGCTGCAGTGCCTGAAAACGGTCACACTTGTGATGGACACGCATGCAGTCTGACTGCGGCTCTACTTTTCGTTACAACTGCCGCAGAAGTTCGGCGTCCTCCTTACGCCTCCCAGCACGAGGCACGCAGTTACACAGGGCTGTTCATCTTATACCCTCGCAGGGCAACCGGGAACACTGACCTTGGGAAGATATTTCCATCTCATTTCACCCGAATATGAAGGCATTGGAACAACATGGAGGGCCTTTTTTTCACGTTCCAGGGCAGGCTACGTTTAGGACGAGCACCACCAGCGAGAACTCCAGCCTTTGATACGTCAGGCGGATCTAGGAGGACAAACACGGGATACGCTGCTGAGCGGTCAGAGCGAGCGATTGCTACCAGCTCTGCCAGTGCCAGGCCCTATAGCACTAGACAAATCACTTGCTCTTCCTCATGCCTTGGCTTTTTCACCGTGGGAACAGCGCTTTCTGCTCTGCTGCTGTGATGTTTAATTATAGCAAGAGGTTAGGAGCTCCCGGGTGAAAGTATCATTAATGGCATGTTACTGGCCTGCAGCATTGCCTTGAGTAATAAGTGACTTATAAGTGAGCTGTCACATTTTCACTTCATTGCTCTTTCTCCTTTTTTCCTTCATTTGCTAGTCCTTCCTACTAAGGCTATGACTGCCCCAGCTTGTGAAAATATACCCGAGCACAGAGACGCCCAAGCTGGCCATGCAGAAGCCACTGAGGATCAGGAAGCAGCATCAGCATACATTTATCAGCTCAGCTATGTCACTGCGCAGTGCGTCCACAACGTGCGGACACAGCGCTCTCCGAGCGTGACATGCCAGCACAGGGATCTCTGCCCCAGGCTCTCATTGCGGCCCATGCACGCCACGAGCTCGGGGCCATCTCCACAGCCTGGTCGCAGGTGGCTCACGTCTCCTCCTGTCAGCAGCAACGGGGAAAAGCAAGGTCTTTTTAACGCATCAAGCTCCTACCCTTGGAAATCGGCCAAACGATCAGCCACGGCTCGTTGCTTTGTGCCTACAGTACCTAAAACGCTGGGTGGTCTCCTTTCCTAGCACCCGCCAGGGCTGCTGTCCAGCATGGCTGTAGGCCCACTTCTGCAACGCAAACATTAAGGCACTATTAGGCACGCTGTGTTCACACAAAGCCTTGTGTAACCTCGATTGCCCTCTACCATGTCCCATCATCTATTGCAACATGGAGCAGCAGCAGCGTGTCCCCGCACCTCACATGCCCACTAACAGCCACCTCCCCTCGACAGCCACCTTCAGGCACAACGGGGACCAAGGCAGCCACGTCGGAGAAATGAGAGTGCTCTGCTCAGCAGACAGCCACAGAGGAGCCAAAATCATCAGGCAACTAATTACCACAGGGGAAGGGGGAGCGAGGAGAAAGCCCAAAGGCCTGGTTCTGTCCTACAGTTTATTCACAGCTACTCAAGTGACCAGTTGTCTCCCTGCCAGGCTGATAAAGAGATTCCAGGTGGTGGAGGGAAACTGGATTATTTATCTACTTTCTCTGCTTAAACGTTCATTTGCCGCTCCACCTCGTTCTTGCAGCCAATCTGCCCCCAGGCCCTACACTGCAATCCTTTCGATGCATTCCCTAGGAGGCAGGAACAAAACGCCGAGAGACACCAATATCTGGAGGGAGACCTTGGAGGGAGACCGGCCACCTTTCAAATCCCTGGGGCAAGTCCTCACCAGAAGGGTGATGGAGCTACCCCCTGCCATGGGGGTACCCCCAGAGCTCCCGGGGACACCACAGAGCAGGGCCAGGAGCCACCGTGCGAGAGGGCTCCTGGGGGCACTCCAAGGCCCCAGTGGGGTGGACAAGTGGTGGGGGCTCCTCAAGGGCTTGGCCAAAGGGAGTGATGGGGCTGAGGGAAGGCCCCAGGGAAGGGGCTGAGGGGTTGAGGGAAGGGGCAAAGAAAGGAACCAAGGGGATGAGGGAGGAGGCTGAAGGAAGGGGTCAAAAGGCCGAAGGATGGTGCTGAGAGAAGGAGCTGAGGAGATGAAGAAAGGGACAGAAGGGATGGAGGATGGTGCTGAGGGAAGGGGCTGAGGGGAGGAAGGACAGCGCTGAGGGGAGGAAGGATGGTGCTGAGGGAAGGGGCCGAGGGGATGGAGGACGGTGCTGAGGGAAGGGGCCGAGGGGATGGAGGACGGTGCTGAGGGAAGGGGCCGAGGGGATGGAGGACGGTGCTGAGGGAAGGAAGGACGGTGCTGAGGGAAGGGGCCGAGGAGATGGAGGATGGCACTGAGGGGAGGAAGGACGGTGCTGAGGGAAGGGGCCGAGGGGATGGAGGATGGCACTGAGGGGAGGAAGGACGGCGCTGAGGGAAGGGGCCGAGGGGATGGAGGACGGCGCTGAGGGGAAGAAGGACGGCGCTGAGGGAAGGGGCCGAGGGGAGGAAGGACGG